AAAAAAAAAAAACAAAAAACAAACAAACAAACAAACAAAAACCTAGCTCCCCCTCCATCTGACAACTGGCATATTTGTATTTTAATTTTATTACTTCTAAAACTTGATTAGGGCCACTTGGAATTGTTACTAGAGATGCTTCTGGAGAGAACTACCGCTTTTTTTTTAAAAATGTTTTGTAACAGCAGTGAGATTAAATATTTCTGCCTCACTTAGAGATGCTCAGATGGTTTCAGTGTCCTTTTGTCACTCACTTGGCATCGAGTGAATTGTACCCATTTGCAGTGTGATTTTTGTCTTGAAAAACGCCAAATGCTTGCATATTGTTTTATGTTTATAATCTTTACTCTCCCCCCACCTCTGTTGGAGATAGGCTTCTTTTAAAGCTGCTGAGAGTATCTCCATTTTGACTGTTGAGTTTTACTCCAGATTTCCCCTTTTTAATGGCGGAGCAGTAACCAGGACGGTTTACATATTCCAGTAAAGTGAATTCCTATCTATGATAGGCATGAAGAATCGAGAGGAAAGATCCCAGCATTTTTTTGATACAGCAGTACCACTAGTGGATGATGGAGACGATAATACTCTCTATGATCGGGTACGTGAAGGGGCTGCAGAACTGACTGCTCCACACTCGCGCTCCGCTCTGTTCCTTCTCTTCATAGACCGTTGGCTTGTGTGCGATGAGATGGGTCAGCGCTGCTTCAGGTAGAGTCTGTGCAGCGGTTCGAGGAGCGGTCGTGGGGGCCATACTGCTTCTCCCTCTGCAGAGGCTACGAGGAGACCTTGCAGTCTTGCCTTCCGGAACCTTCAGGAAAGCAGTCTGCCCACCCCACTTGGGGAAGAACCCCGAGAAGCGCAGGGTTCATCCCGCTGGTTTTGCTCCTCGGCCCTTGCGGAGCGGCCGACGTGGGTTCCCCCGCGTCCCCTGCTCGGGCCAGTCGTGCTTTAGATCCTGAGGCGTGTTTTAGGAGTTTGGATCTTGCCTGTCGGGGAAAAAATCAGTGCTTGTGTGTTGTTTACCTGCTTTGTGGAAGTGTTTCCAGAATTCATTCTTTGACTTCCGTCTAACATCACACACCATCCCTTTCTGGAGGCGGGGTGGGGGGCGGGGGCGGCCTCCAACGTACAAATCCTGTATGTTTTGTTTCGCTAGGGTTTTACAGATGACCAGTTAGTGCTGGTGGAACAGAACACGCTGATGGTGGAGGAGAGGGAGCGGGAGATACGCCAGATCGTGCAATCCATTTCTGACCTGAATGAAATCTTTAGGGACTTAGGAGCGATGATCGTGGAGCAGGTACGTGGTTTAGCTCCCTCGTCATTGAGTTTTCCTGCCGTACCTCGGGTCCTTCTTCAGACTTCTGATTCTGCGTTCCCGTCGGGGAACAGAATTTGCCCCTCTCCCCCCACGTGTGCACGTATGTATGCGTGTGCGTGCACGTTTACATAGGTACACGTGCAGATTACGTACACGTGCTAACGTCACTCCCTGTAAAAATACCGAGAGCTTTGTCTCTCTCTCTTTTTTTTTTTTTTTTGAAGTAAAAAACAAATATCCAAAGGTCTCCTATTCTCCAACCGAACTCCAAGGATGCTCAGGGGACCACCCCGCTTTGGGGGTCTGGTGCCCCCCACTCAGCAATGATTCTGGCAGTAGATAAAGTTTCCCTTCTAATTTTGGCAGGTTACTGCGTAATGGCAACGGGAACCACTAGCTTTCAAGTAGAATTAAATTGTTTGTTCGCTGTTACAATCTGATTATGGGGTTTTATTATCTTGCCAGCAGGGATTTGGGTCCCGATCCCCCTGCCACCAGCTGCAGAATGGAGTGTTGAGGCTGTGGAAGATCTAGTTACAATAATTACTCCCGTGGTTCCCAAGGAACTGCTCTTGCTATCTCTACTGATACAGCGTGTTCCATTAAGAGCCCTGTTCTTGCATGTAGCCTGGTGTTCCCTTCTCTCTGTGTGAACCGAGAGATTAAACAATTAAAACCAGAATTCTCCTGGAGGCAAAGGTGTAATTTGACGTGGCGGATTGGAGCTCACTGTCTTTGCTCCGACCCATGGAAGCCTGTGTTGACGTGTGTAGACATGATGGGCAATTTCCAGGCCTAATCATGGCTGGGTCTAGTTTAACCCGCGTTCTCTGCTTACCTGCATCCAAGCATTTACGCAGCGGATGGGCACAGAAGTCAGCCCTTCGCCTCTCAGAGCCTATTTCCACTGAACCGTATGTTTTTTAAAGCCCCAGTGAGTCTGAACGTGGCATATCTTAGAGTGGCTAAATCCAAAAAAGAAATCTCGGTTTGTCAGTATTTCTGTCTCACGAGGTAGACTTTATTGTAACTAACACAGCACTCTGCCACTGAGTGCCTAATAGCGCTTGGGGATGGATTCCAGAGCTTTCCATGTGCACCTTTACCACCCAGTTAAGTAAAACAGATAATCCTGTGCGTAACGATGTCTGCAGTGTGCCTTTCTCATTTTTGATGTTCCGTTTTTCCCGTTGGGGTTGTTGATGGTCTGTAACTGTCATTTCTTACTCAGGGTACAGTCCTTGATAGAATTGACTATAATGTCGAACAGTCCTGCATCAAAACCAAAGACGGCCTGAAGCAGCTTCACAAGGTAATGTCGGATGTTTCAGTAACCTAGAACTCGAGGAACTGTTCTCAGACACCAAGGCTTCCCAGGAGGACCCTCCGTGTAGCAGCACAAGAACACACGCTAGCGGCTTGTGTGGAGCCGGCCGTGGCGGTCGTTACCCTTGCCCGGCAGGAAACGGTTCCAGGTGCACCTCACACGTGGGTTTGACGTTGCTGAGAACTCCCTCCCGTGACAGGAAATTATAAAGCAGTTGGGCTTTTCTTTCTGTCAGAAAGCGTCTCGCTCTTTGAATCTTGTTTCAGGAAGTCAGGGGAATGGGCATTTGTTAGACGCGCGTCGAACATTCCGTTGGCTCGTTGGTGCCGACTCGGGGCTCTCTTGTTGTGACGCCCTTCTGATGGATTGCTGCTGGAGGGTCATTCTGGAGCAGATAAAACTCTCGTTTTCCCTTTCAGTTGCCACGGCGTCTCTGTGCGCTACCTTGAGAAAAGAGTCGTTTGTTGACGTGAGGCTAGCTCCGTTACTCTTTGCTGGGAAGGTAGCTCTTTCGGGAAGATCTTTCATGATACTTGTTAACGATAAACGGGAAGCGTCTTCGAAGCCTGGTCGTCAGTGGTGAGAAACACACACGTGCAGCCGAGGGGATCTCGTGTGTAATTAGGGGCCTGTGTGCTTTGAGAGGGACGAGGACGCTTCACAGAGGAGACAAGTTTCTGTCCGTTTCCTTGTATCTTGGAGACCCAGTGACACTTGGAGCCATAGCATGAGCATTTTTCCAGTCCACTAACGTACCGCTCTGTCGCCCTGCGGAAGCTGGCTGCTCCCCGGCCAGGACGGTCCCGGCTGCGGGTGGTGTCGAGTGCACAGAAGGTGACGCCTGCCGAGGTGTGACCAGAAGCCCTTGACGCTCGCTGCCGCAGCAGGGTGGGAGTGAGACTCCCGGCACCTGGCGGGAACAAGAGGCCCGCCTCAGGCGGGCTGAGGGCTCGACGCTTGCCGACTCGTCCGCCAGCTCGAGTTTCCCCGCTCTGTAATACCCAGCTTCTGATGCGCTCTTGTTGTTAGAGTTTCTTCAATAAAAACTAGTGAAACGTGTCCTCTGATAGGACGCAGACCACGGGCAAAGCTTTCTCCGCAGGAGCGTACAAATCCAGGGGGAACTAAGAATGCTGTTTCAGGGTCTACTTCATGAATCATTCTGAGGGGTTTTTAAGTCCCGTGCGGCATCGGCTCCCCTGGCGTCCCGGGTTCCTTGTCAGAGAAGTGAGCCAGCCCCGTGCTCCCTCTCACGTCACGTTCTGTCAGCAGCGTGGCTGGCCGTTAGCCGGCCGTCACCTCCTCCGGGGCTGATTGAGCCTCGGGAGTGGCCGCACACGGGCCCGACTGGCAACACGGGCTGACCCGTCTAGGCCGCGGTTTCCTCCCGGTGGATGAGTGGCTCCCAGGGGGTAGGTGGGTTCACTTAGGAAGCAGACCTGCCAGTCAGAAGGTTGGCGGGGAGCACGGAAGTAAGACAGAAGGGGCTGGATCTGCTCGGCAGACGTGGCCACCAAGCTGCCGCCTTCTTGTCCTTCCCCCCCCACCCGCCCCCGGGGGAGCGCAGGGCCTGCTCTTCCTTTCCCTGGGCCAGTCCCCGGGAAGCCGAGGCGGGCCGCCGTTGGGTTTGTGCGCGGCAGGGGAGGTGTGACGGCCGGCGCGTCCGCCCCCTCTCCCGGCCTCCAGGCTGAGGTCTGCGGGTGCGGTGTGCAAGAGGGTGCGGGGTGTGCAAGAGGGTGCGGGGTCGGCCGGCGCCTGCCTGTGGTGCCGGCAGAAGCCCGGGGAGGGAGGACCGCGGGGGCGGGGGGCGGGGTCTCTCTGCACTTGCTACCCGCGGCTCACTCCTTCCCATTCCCATCTCAAAGGAGGGGTGTGCTCTTGTTTCCAAAGTCGGGGGAGGCGGGAAACACCCTCCGGGGGGCCGTCAGTCCCAGGGGGGATCCGTAGCCAGTTGTTGGGTGTCAGGGTGAAGGAGGCACACGTCCGTCCAAGGAACCGTGTCCGGGAACGGGAGGCTCGGGTGGAAAGAGTGGCTCGTCGCAGACGCTGGGAGCGGGCGGGGAAGCGGGTCGGCCCGGCCCCGAGGCAGAGCCGTGGACTCCCCCTGCCAGCCTTTGTCGTAACGTAACGGCGGATCCCAGGCCCGGGCTCTGGGGCAGCCCCGGGGGGAGATGGGCGGCTCCGGGACCGTGGCACTCGTCCACTCGTGTCGATTACTCGTGCCGGAATTGGCGGGCGGGATTCTGATGACGCAGCCCGTGGCGGAGACGCCAGTTGGGCAGACGGACCCGCAAGCCCAGAACTGGAAGCGGGCGGGCTTGCTATTTGGCTTTTCGGGGAAATGACGGCCTCTCTCCCCTCCTCTTTCTGTAGGCAGAGCAGTATCAGAAGAAGAATCGGAAGATGCTTGTGATTTTAATATTATTTGTCATCATCATTGTCCTCATTGTTGTCCTGATCAGCGTGAAGTCTCGCTAGGCGGCCGTGCGGCCACGTGGGCCGCCCGTGTGTGCGCTCCCGGGCGCGAGGGGCTCGGCCGCCCTGCGGGCACAGCGGAGGCGCGGGCTGCGGACCGCGTGGGGGCGGCGAGCGCCTGCCTGGACCCCTCGTCACGGTCGTGCTCCAGCAGGGGGATGAGCTGCTGTTTCTCCTTCGTTGTCAAGAATTTAAGGACCTTTGATGCTGCTGCAGAATAGAGATTGAGTTCTGTCATCAGTTATAATATATATTTTTTTTAGAAAGAAAATGAGTTGAATGTTTACAGGCACTCCGCAAGCTGTTCGATATTGTATGTGCATATGCTATTTTTTTAGCAGTCATGTCTGAGCAGCATGTAAAAATAATTTTTGGAAACGTTTTTTAAAAACCATCTGGTTTTTAAGAAATTTGGTACCAAAAATTTATGAGTAGAGGCAAAAATGCCTCTTCATCTTTCTCTGTATATTTTCCAGTTGAAAACAAACTGAGAAGTCCTTTAAGAATTTATAATCCGTTCCCCATTAACTTAATTTAGCTTTTCCATCACCGTTAATGATCAGAGTAACAAAGTGTGAAAAATAAGAAACCATTATTGATGTTAATTAACACATTTAGATGGGCCAGTTAAAACAGCTTCATAAGTTTAAATTAATCGTAAATGGACTATTCCTCATTTAGAGTTTGTGCACTGCATTTTCTACTGTAAACCAAAAGGGGTTACCAAACAAAACCACCTAAATTTAAAAGTTGGTGATTTGAACCAACCGCACCTGAAAACCTGAAAAAGGGAAGCTTGGCCGTGTCATGGAAGTCACCAGAATCAGCCAGTGTGCCCCTGTCCTCGTCCCCAGCCATCCTTGCTCAATCCCTTACTTACACACTAACTCCATAATGACCTGTTCAAACTAGCCACCATTTAATGAACTGTGAATTTACACGGAGGCCATTCTAAATGGGTCACCCCATTTAGGATTAGTGGATCTCAAATTATTAACCAAACATCACTCCGTTTCAAAGTAGAATATTCCACCAGGGGCATGATTTATCGGCTCTTGCGTCGCTGCTTAACATGCCCAGAAAGTAAGCACGTTCCGACAGATTGCGAAAATCTTGACTAGGAGTCCCTCATTTGTGCGAGCACGAATCAGATCGCCAGAGTGGGACTTCGCCGTTTCCTTACCTGTTATCACTATGGTGCTCGAATATATTCCTGGAACTGTAGAATAATGTGGAAAGCGATGGTGGCTTTGAAAGCTCAACTTGTTCGTGTTTTTACTTGGTCTTGAGACGCCAGTATAGTTCTGATGGTCTTTGTATAACTTTCGATGGCTTTTCCATTGTTTTTTTTACCTCTCCCGAGAAGTTTGCGAAGAGCGTGACCTCATTAAATGTGCTATGTTTTATTTGGATCAGTCACATATAAAATGTGTCTTTAGAATTGACTTTGAAGTCGTTTCCAGAAACTTAAACGCAAGTCCAGAGGTTCAGGTTGTCCAAACAGATCATGGTCTTAGCACCCACACCCATGCCCCAGCCTTCCCCTTCCCAAGTTCCCGGCCACCACTGGTTTTCTCACGACCGATGTGGCTGTAGAACGATCCGAAGGTGCCCCTGGCATTTCAGGAAATCGCCTGGTATTCCCTGACCAGCCATTATGTATTAGGCAAAAAGGTCAGGAAGTAAGAATCCACCTCCTCGATCACCCCTGACATGTGGGGCTTCTGCAGATCTTGAGAAGAGCCGTAGGCATTTTCTAGTCACAGCGGGTTTTAATCCGGTGGCCGAGTCGAGATGTTCCTCTGGACCGACTGCTCCCAGGAGCGGGGGGCCATTCAAGGTCACGGGGCTTCCCTCCCCAGCGGTGGACAGTGGCGACAGGAGGCTCGGTGGTCTTAACGTGCAAGGCAAGTGACCCTTTAAGAAAGGATCGCCAGAAAAAAAGAAAAGAAAAAAAAAGAAAGGATCACCATTTATTTATATTTATTTTCAGTTAACAGGGTGATTGGGGCTGGTTTTTGCCCCCCTCACCCACCAGGGTAAAGTAACGGATCTGACACAGCAGTGATCTTGAGGATCTCCAGTGAACTGAGAAAGCAGTGCAGTGCCACAGAAAGCCCCCCCACTGTCTGCTGCCATCACCTTGTCCCCAGGCCACCTTGTCCCCAGGCGGGGAAGCGGCCCCAGGGCGTGTGCTCCTCAAAACACTGTGTTTTTCTTTTGAGCCTTTACTTAGGGAAAGATCAGCAGCCTTGGGGGAAGTAAGAGTAGATTGGTCCTGGGGCCCTGGTACCTCAGGGTAGCGGGTGATTCTGTGCCTCTGAAGGAGACGGGTTCCTTTTGCTCCAGACGGCCACTGTCCCAGGGAGGGCCGGGCCATTCAGCTCTGTTGGGCTCTGGTGGTAATGACCGCCAGCCCGGTCTCTCCCCGCGCCTGGGACACGACCGGAGAAAGGGG